AAAACAAATATTCGATATAGTCATGGAAAAATCTTTTTTAGTTTATTTAAAACACTTCACTAAAAATATTACTTTTTGTATATGAAAGAATTATAATGTTTACTGAAAGACTGCCAAATTTTGTGAAGATATACATATTATATTAAAAGTTAGTAGTATCAAATCTATAAACACTTTAATTGAGCACAAAGAGGTCAGGTGGTCAGTCAAATCGACCAAGCCTGGATTGAAAGAGTTAAAATATGATCATAGCTACATTTTTATACTATATTCATAGGAATACCAATTAGATTTTGAACTCACTAAAACCTTGTGATATGTGCAGAAAAAGATGTCCTTGAAGAGAGGGTTAATGTGCCATATAAAGGTGCACCAACTGTTTCAAGAAAAATTCTGAATAAATACTAAAAGAATATTAACATGCACCTTAATGCCTATGAGTACAGCTTGGTCAAAGTGCCTTATGAGGCCACTTCAACAAAGTAAGGGAAATAATTTAATTCACTTATAGCTTAGTTAGAAAGCCAGTTAAATTATAATAGTTTTGGTTCACTGTAGTTTTTTGAATGTTATTATTTTGTGTTCTTAATTGCATATTTGAAACAGATAAAAATTATTTTATGTAATCCTAGCATCATTACCAAAAAGTAAGGTTAAGTTTCATTGGGTCTGAGAGCAAAAGGCACAAGATCCACAAGTACTAAATTTCTTGTTTATGTATATTTTTAGTTATTATTATTATAAAAGAATCTAGAATGTAAAAATTAAAAAATTAAATAAAAAATATTTAATACCACCAGCACATCTAGCAAGTGTAGCACACAATTATTTGACAGAGCATGCTGGTAACTGAATGCTGTTTTCACAAAAAGCTTAACCCCTTCACTGCTCAGGTGAGATGAAAAAACTCCCACCTCATGTGAAAAAATTTACCATTTGCGACCTGCCCCGAGCTATTGATGTGGGTGCTTCTTCCATACTTATCTCTGGGTAACTGAGAAGTGTAGATATTTTTTATAGGTATCAGAGGTGACATCTATGGGTCACTGGTACAACCAAATATCAGCTAGGAATTCAAATGGTGGCAGGAAAAACTGAAACATCCTATGATGCATCGAGCAGTTAATTATGGAAACATCATATAATGCACACAGCAGTAAAAGGGTTAATTCTGGATATGTACTAAACCTTTTGAAAATAAAATAATTTGTATTTTCCAATAATAAAAACAATACAGACATTATATACATACATTTAATGAGGAAAGCAAGTGATCTGCTTGTTCACTGAAAATCTGTTTTTCTTCCTCCAACATTTTTGCTTGAATTTCATTATTAGTAACTCTAAATAAAAACAAGAAACAGAGAAAGAATATAAGCATCACTACAAAAATAAGACAGTCTTTAGTGATTCACAATTCACAGAATAAAATAAGTTTGATATAGATTAATACACAACAGAAGTAATAGACATCTATAATACCAATATATGATGATGATGATAAATGACATACAGTGTCAACAGAACACGCCATCACAAATCAGTAGTTTCTCTTAAAGTAATTAAAATACTTTAGGCATTTTAAAAAATAGCTTGTTTTATCTATAAATTTATAGCATATATTTCTTAACAAAGATGTCACTTAAAACTTCTGTAGTCCTGCTTGAAACTGATTTCTTTGCACTTTACTAAATAAAGACCACTTTAGAGATTCTGTTCTATTTGCAGCCTGCTTGAAATCTAAAGATGTTTATATTTATGTAATTGTCTCAACATTTCCTAGATAATAAACATGAAACATTTACATCAATGCCTTAATAATATGCTCTACTATGTTAGCATGTCTTGTAAAATTATTATGGGTATAGAGAAAAATCAATACTTTGCTTCAAGTTCCTGTTTTTCTTGCAACAACATTTGTGTTTCTTCTTCAATTTCTCTTAAATCTTTATGTAACTCTTCTGTAGTGCAAAACAACTGCAAGTTTTCTTGGTCACGTTTCTTTAAAAGTTCTAGAGTTCGTTCTCTTTCTTCAGCCAGATCCTACCGGACCAAGAAAAGACAAGATCCTTAAAATGTTGTGAAGATGTTTTTCATGTTTCTAAATATTTAGCAAATAATATCAAAAATAACTTATGGGAAAGTAATGAATACTTGCAGTCATCGTGAAGATTGGTTTGACTTCTATGAAACAACTACATTTGAAATAAAAGACCTATAACATGACTATGTTTTGGAAGAAATAGTTATATATATATATATATATTTGTTCTATAAGTGAAATATATCACCACAGCTTAACATGAGCACTAAATAGAGACAAATCTCTATAAAGCTCTGGCAACAATTGTACAAGGGTAAAAACAGTAAATTTAAAAAGTAAGAGCATTAAAAAATAACTACACATATCAATAAACTCATACTTATGACTCTATTCAACTAAATGCAGAAGGAAGACATCTCAGAAAACCACAAGAGGAAGTGAATTAAAGTACACGCGCATGTTCATCACTTTAGAATAATTTATAACAGAAATTCAGAAAATGTGAAATGGAACCTTTATACGTAGAAAAGGATAATGTAACATTTTATCAGCCATACTTTACATTAATAAATTACTTAGAATTTTAAAGCAACAGAAAACATTTCTTCTTTATTTAAATTTCAAGCATTTTGTATGTCTATGCATTATACACACACACACAGACTAAACACTTTATTTGAAGTTTTTCATACACATTCTTAAAACATATCATTTACACGCATATGCAAAATAGACTGATCATATATTTTTTTTTCAAAAACTACTATTAACAATTTGATTCTTACAGGTAACTTGCCGTTGGATGCTACAAATCTAATTGTTAGTTATCCCAGAACCCAAGAATTTTACCTCCTCCCTAAGGGACCCTGGTTGCCCAATTATTTCAGCCTGTAACTGCTCTACCAAATTAATTTTGTCTTTCCTTGATGACATCCTTAAGCCCATCGTCTCGTCTCTTCCTAGTTAAAAGACATGACGCACTCCGAACTTTCAAGAATTTTCAATTCTGTAGTAGTGAACAGTATATATTCACCATGGACATACAAACATCTACACATTAATTCCCAATAACAATGGTATGAAAGCCCTCAAGCATTACCTATATCTGCATTCTTCACTAAACCGAACTTGAATTAACCCTGAACGGATTCTCCTTTAATGGCAAATTTTCTCAACAAACAAAAGGTGTTGCTATGAGTACTAAAACGAGTCCTTCTCATGCTTCATTGTTTGTTGGTTATACAGAGAATCAGATTTTCTTTACATATCAAGGAACACTTCCTACTCTTTACAGATGTTATATTGGTGACATTGTTGGTGCAACCAGCATACCCTTGTGCAAATTAAATCAATTCTTACACTTCGTTTCCTCCTTCCACCCAGTACTTACATGGACAGTTTCCTCAAAGAGCTTACACTTTTTAGACATTCTCGTCTCCATTGAACATTGTCATTTACCAACTTCAGTACACTACAAACCCGCTATGACTATTTCCATCCCCATCATATATTTCAATCTCTTCCATATTCCCAATTCCTAAGATTGCGCAGACTCTGCAGTGAACAAACTGATTACGAGTCAAAATCTGAAGATATGAAATATTTCTTTATCAGTCGTTTCTACCCCAAGTCTTTATTAGAAAAAGCCACCCAATGCACCCATTCTGTAACTCGACAATACACCCTAACACTTAATTCCAAGTCTACAAACTCTCGATTACCACTTATCTTTACTTACCCTCCTAATACCTCTAAAGTTGGCCAAATCATCAAACAAAACTTCAACATCCTCACTGACGACCCCATAACTTCCAAAATTTTAAAGAACCTCCACTTGTCAATTACATACATGATAAAAGTATAAAAACATTTTAGTCCACAGTGTCATCCAGAAATCTACCCCTAGTGTGAACCCGGATACAGCTTGTTGTCACAGAAAGAAATACATAACCTGGCAATATGTTAACACCACAACATCCATATCTGGCACCAATGGGAAATTTCAAATACGACAATCATTCACTTGCATTTCAACAAGCCCAATATACTGTGTATGCTGTAAAAAGTGCTATATGTTGGTCAAATGGGTCGCTGTTTATGGGATCGTTCAAGTGAACATCTTTCTTATGTAAGAAATAATAACACTACAAAACCCACAGGTAGACACTTTAATAACCTTTCACATTGCATGTCCGACTTCGCCATACTTAGACTCACATTTGCTCCATCCACTGTAACTCAAAGAGAATGCCTAGAAAAACTTTTGATTTTTAGATTAGGCACTGTTAATCCCTTTGGATTGAATGAAAAGTTCTCTTTTCTCTAACTTTATCTTTTCCATTTCTCTACCCTACACTTTTTCTATACTTTCTCACACTGACATTTATTGGATACAACCTTTTCGTTCAATGTTCGCACTCTTTTTCCTTTCTAGCCAGTTCACTTCAGTCACCCACTTTTGTTACCTTTATATTCCTTTCTTTTCACTATCGTTCTTCACTTCTATTTAGTTCACATACCTTTTATTGTTGTACCCCTTTGAACAATATTACCCGATGCACATTTTCATTCATTTTCTTACATTGTTGCCTGTATTTTAGTTCTAAGTTTCCTTTTTTTGTTGTTTATTTACTACGATTAACTTTATTTATACAATTTTTATACTTTTTATTATTATTATATTATTGTTCTTATTTTATATGTTACTTCCCTTACCTCATTTGTAGTTTCAGGAAAATGCTCTCGAGCCTTCCAGCCAAGTGTTATTTGTTCTTTCAACCTAACCCTTATATTAAGTTTCATTGCCACTGGTAACCTAATGAAGGGCTGTTGTTTTATTAATAAAGTTATTTTAATTTGGCGAGTATTTACCACTACATTATATTCTATTTTGCATTTTGTTTTTTCCTTGCCTATGCAATTAATTTATTTCTTACACTGATCATACATAAAGACAAAGCCTTGTATATGCAAAGATGTAGTTACATCATAGAAAGTCTGCAGGATCTATAAGTTTTTCAAAAGGACATTGTAATGGGTACAAGTCTGACAGGAGCATTTTTATGAAAGCTGGCTTCTTTGATCAGCTGATCATCGATATCTATCATTATAATTTCAATTTAAAGAGAATAATCCGTCATTAGGAAAAACTGTGTCTACAAATGCTGGTTACAGACCATAGAAAAAAAAGTATATGACTGGATGCAGTTGTAAAGTGCAACAGATGTAAGGCCAAGTCTTAATTGATCAGCTCTTTTGAAAGATGTAAGGCAATGTCTTAATTTATCAGTTTTTCTCAAAAGTGATGAGAATTTGACTATCTATGAAACAGACATAAGACCATGTCTTAATTGGTCAGTTCTTTCAAAAGTGATGAGAATTTGACTGTCTCCAATGCCACTATGTGAAGACACTACAATAACTATTATTAAAAGACAAACAGTTAAAAGAAATGCTTATCTAAGATGCAAACATGTCTTCTGTAAGCTTAACATATATAGTGTGGACAGTAAATGACTAAAGCATGTGATGGTGTTTGATGAGAAGAACATAATAAACTATTGGCTATCCTGGGTCCCAACCCATACAGCAAAGTGATCTATATGCTCTCTGGTTCATTCTCAACCATTTTGGAGCACTAAATATTCACATTCTTTACTGCTAGGATGATAAGCAAGCACTAGATGTTTGACATTTTAATTCATGATGCAACGATCAAAATTACAAACCAGTTAACAAACTGGTCATTTTGTTAAATATTTAGACAGATATTACATACAAGTGTTTACAATTGCAATGATTAGACCAATTAAGTACAAGCTTGTCATTTCATGAAATACTGAGGAATTGCTTGTATAAATCAGTTTCTACTAGGCACATTACTGACCAATAATTCACAAACCAAGTCTTTTAAAAGGCATATATACAATATTATGTAGTTTCGTGCATGAACTTCTGCCTGTCATACTAGACTCCCCCCCCCCCAAACTCTTGTCTTGTTCATGAATTATATTCTGGTTTTTCCCCCATTTACAAGTCATAAGCACAGTATATGGATATTTCATACATTTTCCTGAAAGAAAAAAGTAGGAAAAATTACATAGGCTTGATGGTTTTATTCTGTTAAAAATTCTCCTGTCACATGTACATCGTAGCTTATCAGACTGACAATAATTTCAGAACTTGTGACAATATGTTTTCATTTGTGAAATTCCTTAATTATTGAGAATTATTCTAAGATTTCTGTTGTATACCTGCTCCCCCAACATTCATCCCCATTCAATTTAGGCTCCATCTAAAAATCCAAATAACAATAATGTCCGATGAAAGAAAAATGACTAATCTATATATTTCTACACAACAGGCAAGCAAAAGTACACAATTAAGGAGTATGGCAAAAGATTTAAAGTCTCTATCTATGCTATTCCTTCTTGATTGTCTGTCATTGCCCTTTTAAGGAGCTCAGAGATACTAGAGGTGTTTGAATACCTTTGACTTCTCAAGACATTTTGTGTTTGGTCAGATGTCTGTCAGTAAGCCAATTAACCCTCTAGCTAATAGCAGATAAAGTGCATATGTCACTATATTTTAAAGAGTAACCTTTAAATTTTAATTAACTTACTTTTTTTTTCAATGTATCTGAATAAATTGGGATCAAACCTTAGCTAATAAATCAGATTTTAATTTTATATAAGATTTAATTTCTTAAAAATTGTATAAGAAAATATTTAAATAAATCCTCAATCTTGTCTAGTATGAAAATCATGACATTTGTTCTCTAGGTCTTTTCCATTCTCTAATTTATTTACTGTAACCCCTCTCTGAAGTACAAAATTTAATGTAAATTAATCATTATAAAATATGTATTATTACGGCAAAGTTTAATTTTTATAGCTTTCAATCTTCTGGAGTCATAAACTAGAAAATCAGACCCACATCCCCTCTTTCATAAATTTAAAATAATTCTCTCTTACATTTCATATAATAACATTTATAATTA